ATTTTTTATTTTGATTAAAGTCTCATAGTTCTATTTTCCTTTTATAAGTACATAATAATATCTATATATTTACGTTCTTATTACGAAACCATTGCAGACAATGTCTGACAATAACTAAAATAATTATATGAAATAATTATTTTATGTGTAAAATAAAATAACATATAATGTTGCACATGTGCATAATTTTTTTAAATTATCTTTTTTATTTAAATATCTTTAAATATCTATTTAATTATCTTTTTTAATTAGACTAAGCGTCCGCCCTCCGCACGCCGCTACGCCGCAGAAATTATACATTATAAAAACATTCTGGAGATCATGATTTTGATAACATATGTCAAGATCAAGGCAATCTAAGTGACCTCTTCTATACTACATAATTACTTTAATTTCTTCCACACAGATAATATCAAATGACCATTCTAAAAAAATATTATTTGAGAAAATTTAACGAGGAATACGATGGTATTATTTAAATTTTTATTTTAGTGTCTTGAGCAGTAAAATGACTTTAAATATTTTAATTGTTTATAATAATCATAATGTAATGTAACAACCATAATAATAATAATAATGCATACGTAAATAAAAATAATTCTTTTATCTTGAAAATGAGCCCAATTTCGACTGGATGAATAGAAATGGAGTTATCGCGATTTTAAGAAGTGTGCATCGTCGAGTTTTCACAAAACTTTAAATCTTTCATATTTTCAAAAATATTGAGATAAAAAAAATTGCCAAAATACATGTTGGCTTATTTTATATAGGAAATACGTAAAAAAATTGTGAAGCGAATAAAAAATGTTACCTCGTATTAAATGTTCGATTTATAAAAGAATATATACCTATAATAATAGTTTTACAAATATTAGGAATAAAAACATTATTGTTATTATTTTTCAAATATCAATTGGCTTGTACGAAATTTAATTATATCAAAATATATACTTATATATACATACATATTATAAGATAAAGGAATTTTTGTACTATCTAGTCTAGAACATTAAAGTTGGTTAATTTGACTAATTTCGTAAATGTCTGACATTAATTATATTGCTATAATAAATCATCTTCGCAACCACAGGAGCAGCACTCGCAGAACTCATCGCTGTTGCTGTCTATTTCTGATTCCGAATGCATTTCCGAAGATATTGATTGGTCCTCATCTAAAGATCTAACATTGCAATTACATAATTCATGCTTACGTTTTTCTCCGCAATCGTATCTGCAAATATTAATTTGCTTGCATGCGGAAGGAATCGTACACTCATTGCATGTTTTACTGGGATCACACGGCACTGAAGATTGTGTTAATTGTTTGGATTGCGGTACATCTGAAAATTTGCGATTATTTATGACTGAATATTAATTTAATTATACAAAACAGATTTATTTTATGTAGAAAAAAATAAATTTTTTTGTTACATTAAATATTTCTAACAAAATTTGAAAGAAAATAGGTTGATACATCAGTCTATAACATGCCTGTTTTCAAAGCGACGCTAAATAAAGACTCGCAAGAAGATTTTGCCGAACATGGAGATTTAGATTTAAATACAGCTGAAGAAACTCGTTTGCAAGATTTGCAACAAATACAATCACGCGATTTACTCTCGGTTATACGTGATGTGTGGCGATCCAATGGAACACAGCACGAAAGCGGTGGACATAATTTTTCGGCTTGAAATGGTCTTTTTGATGCCTTTTCGTGAGAAGTTAACATTACCGACGTTGCACATGAGCAGCAAGTCTAAAAATTAGGAAATATATATACAGAACACGAAGTATATAAATATTATCTATTCTTAATACTCACTCGTTTCCTATTTTCAAATTGAAATTTTTTCTTCGTCACATATTTATTACGTGTGTAATCTTCTAATAAACCGATTAACTTTTTATCAGTTTCCTTTGAGTCCATTTTTTCACTGTCACGCTGAAATTTCTTGCAGGACAGCAATTTGCTCATTTGTCGCCTGTACATGAATTCTTTACTTTCAAGCTCCCCGATGTAATTTTTTAATTTCAATTCTTCTTCAGCCAATTGACGAATTTTTTTCAGACATATCAGATCTTCGGAATGAATAGAATGTAGACTAGGTGTATTGCGTTTCTGTATCTCATTGCGCAATTCTGTCAATTTCTCTTCCATTTCTTTATTAGCCAGCTCTAAGGACTCCAATTCCATGCCAGTTTCCTCCAGTTTCACATCCGCGTCTATGATCTTATCCTGCATTAACGGAAACTAGATTGTAAATTCCTATCGCACGAATTATTATTGTAATATTTACCGCTTTACTTTTCGATTTTTAAGGGAGAAATCGCTTACAAAAAATTTTTTTTAATTAAAAAAAATTCACATTCTTAAAATATACACATTAAAAAATATTTTTGCAAAGTTTGAAGAAGGATAAAAAAAAAGAGAGAACAGCCTGAAGTATCATTAGTGCGAATGATACAAAGATCGGTTTCACTTTTTCATATCTAATGGAACTGATTGCATGACTTGGAATCTTTTGTTGTGTTTGAGCACAAATGGTGGTTTTTTAAATCACTAAATCCATATATATATACGGTATATCTTAAGTACGTTAAAAGATTTTAAGGAGTGATTGTTTACACAAATTCAAGACTGAAACTTCATATTGAAGATTTATCGAAAATGACTTAAATTCAAAGATACACAAAGTGTCAAAGTTGAAAAAAATTTTATTTTTTCCAGAAATTTCAAAAATCATTCGAGTTATTTTGATGTAATTTGATAATATGAGCATGACAGCTTATCTTTTGGAACTATACATTATCTTTTTATTCAATCAAGGGCGGACCTAAAGGATAATCAGTTAAACTGAAAAGCGCAAAATTAAACTCTAAAGCAAATGTTGAAAGTGTAACTGATATCAAATAAAACGACTTTATTCATTTGTAGTCTACAAATTCTAATTTATTTTTTTCTCGAAAATGGCTTATTCTATCAAAAATGTTAAATACACATATTTTTTTCTACGGATTTATCCCATTTATCAAAAAAATTTTAAACTTAAAATCATAATAAATGATTTATTAACACCATAATGTGAATGCACAATTAAGAATATTAAAACCTATACGTATACATGTATAACCCCGAAGCTGGATTTTTAATGCTTTAAATAATTTAATGTGAATTATATGTACAAGATGATCCACACAAACACACGCGCGTGCGCGCGCAGGCACGCACGCAAGCACACACATTAAATCGACCATCTGAAATATCTTGTTTATTTTTGGTGATATAAAAAATGTTTCAAATGAAAGTGGAAGGATTTCAAGAGAGATGTATTCCGTGTTGCTTTTTTTTAGGTGGAGGTGTCAAAAAGATATAAAGATTATCTCAACTTTTTAAAAATAGAATTGTATGATTTTTTTTTACACAATATGATTTCTTTAATTAATAAAATAATTCAGCATGTAAAAGTATTAAGATAGTAATATCAAAAAACTAATAATTGACGAGATATTTTACATTTTATTCTGGCACATATTGACATAAAATGTTAAATAATTCGTAAACTATTAACTTTTTGATAATCGTACCTTAATACTTTTATGAACAGAATAATGAGATGAATTAGTTGGTATAAAGAAAACACATAGTTACTTTAAAAAATTATGGCAAAATGGATAATTTTTTAAATAAGCAGTTATTATTTAATTCTTCAGAGCATAATATGAAGAAGCAAGTGAGTACTAATTATTTATAATGAGAAAGAAATAAATATAAATTAATTAATTAATATAAATATAAATAAAAGAATATAAAATAAATAAATATATACATAAATAAATATATATATATAAATATGTAAATTAATAAATATAAAAAAAAAATATATAATTAATATAAATTAATAAATAACAATTTTATTCCTAAACAATTGTACTATAAAAATTTTTATTGTGTATTTTGACGAGTCACTATTAAGTTATTAAATGACGCATTGAAATATTCTTATAAATATATATAATTCGTATCTTATGTGAATCCGATGTAACACCATAAATGGAGAGTGAAAACGAAATTGCTAGCAATCGGTTGAACGACCGATTGGTAGAGATTTTTCATGATTATTTATAAGTTATACAATTTTATCTGGTATTTATACAATTTTAATCTTGAACATGACTAATAGTTTTAATAATTTCAGATATATTTATTTACCTCATAATCATAATGACTGATACAAACAATTTGACACGCATCTTATCTACATCATATGTTGGAAGAATGTAAGACCATAACGATGAGTACTTTAATATATGAAATTGCTTGTAGATCTGTACTTAAAAGATTATAACTTATAAATAATCATGAAAATTCTCTACCAATCGGTCGTTCAACCGATTGCTAGCAATTTCGTTTTCATTCTCCATCTATGGTGTTACATCGGATTCACATAAGATACGAATTATATATGTTTATAAAAATGTTTCAATGCGTCATTTAATAACTTAATAGTGACTCGTCAAAATACACCTGACTTTTTTGCACTGCGTTTTTGCTCTGCAAATTTATATAATAACATCTAATGTCATATAATACAATGTAACGTTAAGTTTTTAAATTAAATTTATATTTCATTTCAATTTATCAGAATGTTAAAACTTTAAACGTTTATTACACATATCTATATTCGAATTTGACTCTAATTTGCCCTTCTATATTCTTGATATTTTTCATAGTTATTATGTAAAAAAAAATATTTAATTTAGATATTTTTATATAGAATTTTCGTCTTAAAATGACTTCAGGAATTTGGTATTAGCAGGTGATGCGTCTGGAAGACCCTATGTATATAGAATCACTTATAATATTTTAACTGTAGTCATCTATTGCTGTAAATATTATATGTACATACTAGGTAGGAATTAGGAGTCATACCAAAGGCAAAAATTGCATCATTACATCAATAATCAAACACATAAAAAACTTGTTGCAACATGGTGGATAAGATGCAATATCAAATAAGAAAAGTTCAACAATAGAAGGATACATTACAAAGATCAAAATGAATCATTTTGTACATCCAGAGGAGTAAGGATGGCAATGCGACGCATTATCTGCAAGTACATGTTTTCTCTGAAGAATTAGATTTATGTGATAGATGACTGAAAAATTCGAATATGTATCGAAGGCGCAAATCAGCTGATCAATTTTGTATTTTGTGATGACGCCGCGTTCTCGATCTAGAGGCATGTAATGTCAGGATATAACGTTTATAACGCAATGAATTAAGAAAACCATATTATATCGTTTACATTAATAGTGAACTCTACATAATAACACGATTATATCATAGAATTTATTAATATTGCGACCGTCTCGTATGCACCAGAAAAAGAATTAAAGTTAATATTCGTCAAGTTTGGATTAGATTTTCCGTTAGTACATTATAGTGCAATTTTTAATGTATGGTATTTAATTGTTAAATGTCGGATAATAATAGTACTTTTTTATAATGTTTTTTTCTATCTTTTTTCTCGTGAACGTAAACCTCCTAACACATGTGAAAAATCTATTTTTATAAGATAGCATAAAACTATTTTTATAAAATAAACGAGGTGTACATACAATTATATAAAAAAACAACCTAACATATAAAACAAGTTTATAAGCTGCTCCATTTTGAGATACGTTGTAGTTTTCATGATTCTGAACAAATGTCTTCTTATATCCTCAGAAAATTAATGGGTTAAAGATATGGAGTTCTGAAGTCACAGAATCTGAGTGTTTGCTTAAGATAATTAAACATGCTTTCTTTTATATGTAATAGATCGGCGTACACATATATTCTTGAATAAAGCATTCATATATACAGGGTGTCTCACAACTACCGAATTATATTTTAAGGACGTATTTTTGAGATAATTTTATGAAGTTAATGGTCAATAAGAATCTGATAGTTAAAAATCTTGAGGTATATCTATGTATAAATGTAAATAAATTAAAAGTATTAAACTGAAAAAGGAATCAAAATGTCTAAAACTTAATTTTTGAAAAATAAATTCTGTGTAAATAGATTCTGTAGAAAGATTTTTTCTCACCTTTAAATACAGAAAGCTTTGAGACATTTTACATAAAGAAGACTTAATTTTTAATTTTTAACACTTTTTATTTATTATGGTATATTGTCCAACCTTTGATATGATTTTGTTGACTATTTTTCTATATTTTGTCCAATATTTAATTTTATTTTTTAATAATTTGTTAATAACTTTTTAATCTTATATAACTACTCTTATTATTTTAATGGCTGAAGATAACTAACAATAAGTAAAGTCGAAACGTTCCATTTATTATTATAAAAAAATTCTTAAATCTTTTATAATATAGATTAAATGTTTTAATAAATATTTATATTATCTTATATTTTTTAAATTCGTGTTTGACCTATCTTTCTATTCACTTGTATTTACATATTCAAGTAAGAAAATGATATTATAGTATTTTTAAGAGTTTAAGTATCTTAGTGACCTATGGTACTCCAGTCTTCCTTAAATCATAAAGCATAACAACTGATAACGTGCTAAAAACACGAATAATAATTCTTTCGTTAAAAAAAAGCACACTGGCAAGATTTACCCGGATTCTTATCGTCGAATGTCAATCGTGTCGTACATGCAACTGTGTCGTTTCTTGGTGGAGGCTGTGGACCACATTCTTCAATTCGGCTATGAGTTTGTCGGCAGGATCTGACTGTGGTGCGAATACATTCATGATCTCTCGTACTTTGTCATATGGCCCATCACATAAATCTTGCTCAGTTTTCCACATGTTGTATGCTATCATAGCCGGGATGGAGCGTTCCAACGTAACGACTTTGTTCTTCAGCTGCCGCTGATGGCCAATCAGATCACATCGACGTTCCTCGATCTCGGATGTTATGTTCGCCAACGGCGATTCAATCGCTTTCATAAAAGAAATTTATTGTCTCTTTTATTTAAACAAAATTTTATTAATTATGCAGTATAGAGAGGACTACTCTGCAATAACCTTGACCTTGACAATGATATGTTGTCAAGGCCATAACCCCAAGTGACAAATTTTAGCCGTCGCTCCTTGTTCCTTAAAAAGTTATTAACAAAAAAAGTTTATCAATAAAATCTAATTTTTGAACACGACTGCGCTCCAATAAAACAAATTCCCTGCTTTAACAGAGTAAAATATTTTCTTATAATATTGG